ATATATATATTATTTTTCATGTTGATGCGGACGAGTCCATTGGTTTGGAAGAGCACTTGGATAAAGAACCGCCGAAAGATGCGGTTGAGTCGGCCCCCAATGTTGTGTTCGAGCCTCAGGGGGTAGTTGTCGTGTCTTCAACCTTAATCGGTGAAGAGGAGTGCCAACAACCCAACCTTATGTCTTCGTTTGGTTCCCTTATGTCGGCTTCTCACCAGCTCCATTTGACTGATAGTAGCTCCATTTCGAGTTTGCACGATATTGTTTGGACGTGGTCGGCCCTCGATGGGGGCAGTCAGAGGGTTAGGCGTAGGTCTATTGCATGAGTTACCAGCTCCTTCGGCAACCCAGGGTTTGGATGTAGCAGCCTTGTGGCCCATGCAAGTTCCACCGCAGTCTGACCGAACTGGGTTGGAAGAGGTGTTGTGTGAGTTAGGAGCACTTCACGAGTCGATTGGCCCATGCAAGTTCCACCGCAATCTGACCGACTGGAGCATATTAGGATAAGAGGGGTGATAGTTGTCCAAAGGCTAACACATGATGCATTACTTTCGTCATACTATTTTTCTTTTATCCGTGTAATGGATCTTCATACAATATTAAGACATTAAATCATCACTCTACTTCCACAAAATTTCGGGTACATAAAAAATAATTTTTATTTTGTTAGTACTCCTATTTTATTCTTTAATCATATTTAAAAAGGGAAATTTTGATCCATAACACCTAATTCCTATGCATTTACATATCTCACACCAAATTTTTCATATTTACTTGGATACCATTTTAGTTCTTTAAATTATGTATGGAAAGTTATATTTGACATTTAAAAAATAATAATAATGTTATTTTTTATGTGATATTAAAGAATTGAGTCTTATGTAGCTAAATTCCCCTTTAAAAAAAGTCATGAAAAAATGCGCTTGAATTCTTAAAGCCCACAGAGTGCCGACACTCTGTAACCTCCAATTACCCTTAAACAGGTACCACTTAGAAAAAAGCTATACAGAGAACCAAAAAAACTAAAGAAAAAAAAAAGAGAAAAGAGTAAATAAAGGGTAGATAAGTTTGATAAAGTTGAATTATTTTGTCGAGTTAATTAGTCGAACAGTTTGGTCGAACTGATTCGATAAATTGATCGACCGAGCTGATCTATTGAACTAACATGTCGTAGGACAATTAAATTGGTAAATGTAGGCTCACCGCTTCATTTAACACTAAGTCTAAGAAAATTTGGCAATACAAAAATAAGTGAATTTGGCCTTCCAACTATTTTTTTAAAATATATTTTTAATTATATTAATCAGCATAATATATATTATGCTTTTTAATGTACCGCGCAGAATTTTTAATCTCTTGGCTTTCAGATGCGTCCTCGTCGTAGAGCCTTTTAAAGTAATATCATGTTGTGTTATTTATCAGGGTCTCCGCTGATCTTCTCTTACTCGTTTCGGATTCAAAATTTTTAAAGTCATCACTAATATTTTATTATGTCCAGACGTAGAAATATGTCCGGAGCATAATGAATTGACTTCACGTGAAACTGACCAAAAAAAATATTTTTTTGTGATCTGACCCGATAATATAGGAGAATATTTCTCGTGTGTTATTCCATATTTTTTAGATGTTATTGTGGCAGTATTGATGTGTTATTGTCTTATTATAACACCAAAAATATTCCCAGAACATAATGATACATGAATACCACCACAATAACACATGAATAATTCGGAATAACACGAGGAAAGTATTCTCTTATGCTAAAATGAATTTTTTTAATTTTTTTTTGTCTCATTAGCGTGACATGATTTCATTGGACTCCGAATGTATCTCTCGTGCAAAGGAAAAAATATTACATGATGACTCTTAAAGTAATTTGTGTTAATTTATGTTCAAAATCTAACAACGAGACGTCATGTGTCAAATGAGCCTCAACACAATAAAATTGATATTCTGGAGCCCAAACAAGAGAGACTGTGAGATCCTTATATTGGAAAAAATTAAGCTCCCACTCCCACTCTACTCCAACCGCACTTCCATCATCTCATGTAGGAAGACCCATGGATTACTTTGACCTCCTCCCCCTCACCGCCATCCTCCTCTGCTCACTCCCATACTCCCGCGCCGCAACCTCCTCCATCTCCTCCAACCAACCCCTCGCCGACGGCCAGACCATCATATCCCCCACCGGCATCTTCGAGCTCGGCTTCTTCAGCCCCCTCCGCTCCACAAATCGCTACGTCGGAATATGGTACCGCAGCTTCCGCAGCACCTCAACCTTCGTATGGATCGCCAACCGCAAATCGCCAATTTCCGACACGTCCGGCTCCCTCGCCATCGCCGGCGATGGTAATCTCGTGCTTCTCGACGGCTCGAAGCATGTCGTGTGGACGTCCGGAGTGTCGACGACGTCGAGAAACCTGACGGCGACATTGCTGGATAGCGGAAATCTGGTGCTTAACGACTCGGAAGCCATGGTTTGGGAGAGCTTTGATAATCCGACGGATACTTACCTTCCTGGCATGAAGATAGGACTTGATCTGATCACGAACGAGAATCATGTGTATACTTCGTGGAGAAGCGACGATGATCCGTCGCCGGGGAGGTTTACTATTGGGATGAATCCTGATCGGTCAACGCAGATCTTTATATGGGATGACGGCAGGCCGCGGTGGCGCTCTGGCCGGTGGAACGGGCAGGTATGTATGCATGTGGGGAGGAAGGCAGATTACACTCCATACTCATTGTGATTTAAAAAGTTGAATTGATTTGGTAAATGCCAATCTTTTATTTATAAATAGATTAGCTACAATAACATATTTGTGAAAAATTGTAATATTAACTAAAAATAAGAATAAATTATAAAAAACTTACTTTTTTATTAATAATTACATGTACGAACGCAAATCTAACTGCAAATAGTCAACTTTACATCTTCTTCAAATATCTAGCACTACAAAAGAAAACAATCTGTCTCCCACTTGACTCCACTTAAGGATTCCGTAAATTTTAACCAGATATTCATAGGGGTAGAAGGCATGGTGCCGGAGTACATCTACGGCTTCCGTCTGAACAACTTTGTCTCAGAAAACCTCATGTACTTCTACTACAGCCCCATCAACAGCATGCCGCAGCGCTTCGTCCTGTCCGCCGACGGCATGGAGCGGCAATTCGAATGGCAATATAACGCCAGCGCATGGGAACAGATCTGGTCTCAGCCGCGCACACAATGCGAACTTTACAACCGGTGCGGCAACAACGCCACCTGCACCAACGCCGAAAACGCCACCCAGCCGCCGGCATGCGAGTGCCTCAAAGGCTTCGTGAAAGCTCCAGAAGGTTGCGTGAGGAGAACGCCGCTGCAGTGCGAGCGGAATGGGAGCGCCGGAGAAGGAGAAAAGGATGGGTTTTATCATATGGGGGGAATCAATTTGCCGGATTTGTCTGATTGGGATGAGAGTTCGAGTAATGCGGAGCGGTGCGAGGAGTCCTGTTTGATGAATTGCTCCTGTAAAGCTTACAGTTTTGTGACAGGGATTGGGTGCTTGAAGTGGGCGAGGGAATTTGTGGATATTCATATTTTTTTTAATGGGGGCAATGATTTTTATCTCAAGCTTGCTGGTTCGGAGCTTGTTGGTGAGTGAATTCTCTCTGTTTATCAAAAATTTAATTTTGATTTTAAGTAAGATATTTAAGGCCATGTTGCTGTTAAGTTCTCTTAAAAAGCTACAAAATATAATTTTTTGTTGTTGTTTTTGCAGATAAGAAGGCTAAAATTCCTGTGTTTCTGCTACTGGTTATAGGCATACCCTCGCTGTTTGCACTTGGATGCATTTGCCTGATGTGGATGCTTCGGAGAAAAATTAGAGGCAAGTATTATAAAGATTAAAATAATTAACACAATTAACTGTATCTAATTGCCGTTCTAATCCCTTTAATTAATTAACCAGCTTTCTTCAGGAGACAAAGGAAGCAACGAGAGGTATCAGTGAATCCTACTACAGAATTCACAGGCGTTCTTGTGATTGAGGGGGAAGGAAGTAATGGGAAGCGCTCGGAATCGACAATATTCAGCTTTGATACTGTTGCGGAGGCAACCAGCAACTTCTCCAGTTCTAATTTACTTGGGGAAGGAGGATTTGGCCCAGTTTATAAGGTGATCAATAAATCTCGCACTAGTTTAGTTATTCAGACTGCAATATTTATCTTATCCACAAAATTCAACACCCTTTAAAAAAAAAAAATCAGCATATTCTAGAACATGATTAGTCTATATATAACGTTAAAAATGATGTTGATAATGTATTGAAAGTTTCTTTGATTAAATAGCCAAGCCAAGGTTTGTCGTCGCATTTGGATTAGTCTATAACGTAATGTGACTTTAATCAGGTCAAGTAATGTTATTTTGTTTGGCTGTGCTGCGTCGCTCAGTCATTTTCCGAAGGCTTAACTGGACAAATGAAGTCGTCGTTGCAGAAGAAGTTGAAAATTGAAGTTCATTACTGATTATTATACTCGAATAGATCGCCTTAGCCAGACTTCCTGGTAGAAGAGAAGATAATGCATCACAGTTTTCCAAATGCGTAATTAAATCATGCAAAATACAAAATTTGCATGTCTTTATGTCTAAATAATAGGATTACACGGTTGGATAAGAAGAATAAGCTTCCAAGAGGAAAAGGCCAGCTAAATGTTCAGGGATAGGCTAAGACAAAGGAATAAAAAATAAATTTAAGGGACCTTTATATACATACTACACAATTCTTATACTTTAACAAATCTAACAGCAAGAATTTTCATATGTACAAGCATGCCACTCTAATCTTAAACTTCATATAAAAAATTTTACTAATTATTAACTTCTTAATAGTAAAATACACACTGTCATGCAGTTTTATAAAACAGAAGTGTTATAAATGTAACTTATAAACTTTAGCTGTTATATATGCAAATAAATAAGAATTGTGTGGTTTATATGTAAAATTTCCTAAATTAAGTTATATACCATCCAATATGCTACCTGATATCCGCATAATTTTATCTAAAGCCAAGAGACATCATGTAGATAGACTCGACGAGTTGCTTCTTAGTCTAGAGGTGACAATAACACATTAACATCAAACAATTATAATAGGAATAAATTTAAGAATATAACAGAAGTTATGAGATAATTTATTCCTATAAGAAGTTATGGGGAATAAATTATATACTTAGATTAAGGAGATTTTTTTTCTTATGTTATATTTATTTTCTTGGATTAAGAATTATTTATTTTTTTATTTTATGTTATTTTCTATATCTTATAATAATTAATATGATTTGATCATTAGAGATATTAGGTGATATATCTTTCATTTCATATTATTTTTATTTTCTTTTTATTTCATTTTTGTTATTTTTCCTATTATTGGATTCTAGTAAGGGTTATTTATACCCCTGTTCATATTAATGAAACAATCAAGTATTTTATTTTATTCTGCATTATTTTGAATTTCAACATGGTATTAGAGTCTAATTCCGTACTCTAGCCACCGATCTCCCTTTGAAAATTGTCGGACTCTCTTTCTGTCTTTCTCTCTGCGGGAAGGGAGGGAGACTCATCTTGATATTTCAAACGACGATTTTTTCTTTTCTTCAATCCCTATCCATTCCCTCCAGTGGAGAACCAATTGGGCCATCTCTCAGTCTCGGAAGCCCAGCTGCTGATCCGATAAGGGCTTTTTTTGCTTCCCCGCCGGAGAAGGGAAAGCGTGCAATATCTTATCCCAGTGCGGCGTGCGCCTGTCGGCAACGCCAGTTTTCCAGCGGCCTCATAGCTAGACCACTACGTCGATGGCAAATCATCTGCTACATTCTTCTGTAGATGCAGTCGCGGAGCAGCGAGTGTCTCCACTTGATTATTTTGGATAGCAAATGACAATTTCTAGACAATCTGGTCATATGAAGGGCAGCTTTAGTTTTAAGGAGTATCGTCTCTCGTCTCCGTTCTCGGCATCTCCTACTCCATCTCTGCCTACCAAAGAGACTAATGTCTTGCATGCTAGATTGCGATCAGAGACTCCTCCAGTCAGCATACCACAACCAATGATGGGAACCATCTGCATCGCACTCTAAATTTTCGGATCCGACTAGAAGCTTGTTGCCACCGCCATCGCCTAGAAATGCACGGGCTGATGTTTTGGAGGATTCTCCTTCTCCGAGTACTTTCAGAAAGTCGGGGGATCTTACTTCACTTCTATACACGACTCCCAAGAAACCATGATAGCAAGATGCTTTGGAGTTTAGCCAGACATCACCACAAACCATCCAAAAACTTCTTGCGTTGTATCCTCCTATGTCGGCACCAGCGATGGGCCTCTAGCCAGAGCAGCACTAGCGATGCCGCCACCCGCCTCATCATCATATCGCTGGAGATATCGCTTTCGTGGATCGGACAATGCCGACAAAATCCATCACTGGCTCTTTCTTCTGCAGTATTTTTTTTCTTCCCTACCCAAGCGTCAGGGGGAATTGTGTTTCCAGCCGGTCAATTCTATTGCGGCATTTTTTTTCCCTGTCCAAGCTTCAGGGGGAGCTGCGTTTTCAGCAGGTCCTTTCTCATCCAGTAGCTGTCGTGGATTGGACAATGCCGACAAAATCCATCGCTGGCCCTTTCACCTACAGTATTTTTTTTCTTCCATACCTAAGCGTCAGGTAGAACTGCGTTTCCAGTCGGTCAATTCTACTGCAGTATTTTTTTCTTCCCTGCCCAAGCTTCAAGGGGAGCTGCGCTTTCAGCAGGCCCTTTCTCATCAGTATTTTTTTCTTCTCTGGCCCAAGCGTTAGGGAGAGCTCTGTTTCCAGCCGCACTTTCTTCTGCTGCTTTTGCTGTCAGCATAATTTACTGGGTGTGATTTACATGTTTTCTCTGCAGCCAACGACAATCACAATCAACTAAAAGTCAGTTTTCTTGTAAGTTATCACTTTCCCTGCAAAACTCAAAATTCAACCAAGTCTGAATCTCTCTTCTACGCCGAAACATATGGCTGACAAAACTCAAAATTCAGCCAAACCTGAATCTAGCAAATTCAGCCAAACCTGAATCTAGCAAATTCAGCCAAGCCTGAATCTTTCTTTTACACCGAAACACATGAAAGACAAAACTCAAAATTCAACCAAGCGTGAATCTAGCAAATTCAATAATCCAAACGACCAATTTTTTTCACTACTCAGTAAGTTAGGAATTGTTAACATACATTCCAAACTTGAGGGGAGTGTTAAGAATTATAATAGGAAATAATTTATTCCTATAAAAAGTTATGAGGCAAGAAGTTATGAGGAAAAAATTATTTCATTAAATTAAGGAGATATTTCCTTTCCTATTTTATATTTATTTCCTTGAATTAAGAATTATTTATTTTCCTATTTTATGTTATTTCCTATATCTCTGAATAATTAATATGAATTGATTATTGAAGGTATTAGGTGATATATCTTTTCTTTCATATCATTTCTTTTTTATTATTTTTTCTATTATAGAATTCTTTTAAGGGTTATTTATACCCCCACTTATAGAGTTTATTTATACCCCCACTCATATCAATGAAACAATCAAATATTCCACTTTATTCCACATTATTATGAATTTCAACATAATCCCTTCTGTCATTCAACCGCGCTAACCAATGTAAATCATATGCTAAAAGTTTGAAGTACTACTCAATTATAGCTAGCTTACATCAATTAATCAAAAGAGTAAATTTTCCTTCTTCGTTGCTAGGAACAATAAATTTAATCTTCTCCACCAGAGCAAAAAGAGGAACAAAACTCAACAAAAGTCCTTTCATTTCTCTCTTGCTGAATAACATGAACGGGAACATATAAAATAAGCAAAGCGAGGCGTTTGATAGCTTTATGATTGATCGAGGAAGGTAAAAACAGTAAGAATTTTTGGGAAGGTTTGCTCTTATCAACCCCAAAGAAATTAGATATCTAAAGAACAAGAGGGAGTGGCTTTCTGTTGCATCATTGCATATCTTATATTGATTAGTGCCTCATTGACCACGAGCTTCTAAATTATTGGATGTTTTCAAACCAACCAACTTGGACATTTAACAAAAATGTAGCATATGTGATAGAGTTTCCTTTGAGCAGAACATTTTTAAACAAATCTCCCTTACCTGTTTTTTTAAATATAACAACTTTCACAGGACAGTATGGAGATTGTATAACTCTTCCAAAAAACTAAGTCCTTCCTATTATTTGGCATAATTAATAACCCTACAACAACATGTCAGTTGTGCACACTACATGAAGTATATTCTACACTATATTATATAACTAACATCAAAATCATACCCAATATCTTGCAAATTATTGAAAAATTACTTCACCTAAAAGTCTCAAATTTATAAATTGTTTAAGCAAATGGTTTTGATGGGTTCTTAGAAGGATCTCTTGAAGGCCCTCCTACACAAAACCAAGTCGATAATGGACATTCATCTCAAATCCCAAATTTCTCACATGACAACTATAGATAAAATTCTCTCAACTATAATTTATTAAACTATATCATCATCCATTCTACATTATATCCTGTACCTTGAATTCAGCACAAAAATATGGTATTCTTTAGCAAGAAGGCTTCAATCCACCAACAGGCTAGGGCAATTTAACTGAGAAATAAACTTCATATTTCCAGGAGAAATCTCTTTATATCCTAATATCTACTAGAGATCAAATCACTAGTAGAAAACATTGCTTTGCATGGTCATATCACACTAACAGGGGAGATCCATTAAGCAATAATTCAACACTATTTTGTCAAATATGTGGAAAGCATGGTCATATCACAATCATATGTTGGCATCAAACCAACTTTAATTCCTATCATTCCTATCTTTTCGAACAACGATAAAACTAATACATCTCTCCTAGTTGAAACCAATTCTATGTCAGCAAAATGGGTGCTAGTTGCAATTGCAACTTCTCAGCTCAAATCCACCTATGAATCAACTGCAACAAATAACAACATACCATGACAATGACAATGTGATAGTTGAAGAATGACCAGCTCCTCCTGTCACACACACTAGACAGTGAATTCCACTCACTCCCAACCATAAGTTCTTCTTCCTCAACTTCTACACTCTCTTCATTTCTTATAATTTACTGCCAGTTCACAAGTTAGCTTCAGATAAAAATTGTAACATTTCATTTAATAAACATGGCCTTATCATGGACCTAAGGGCACATTGAAGCATTCTTCAAGGATCCAATATAAAGGGGTTGTACCTATTACCTGTTTTCTCATCCATTCAAGCATCCACAACCTCATCTGAACTGTGGCATAGGCGTTTTGGGCATCCTCATCATGAAGCAGCAGCAACCACATATGATCAATCTACTAGCATTCTTATTTCCAAGTTCTTATACAATGAGTGTAACTCATCCAAAAGGCACAAACAACCATTTCCTATACCTGTTTATAGATCTAAGGAATCATTTGCATTGGTTCATTTTGATGTATGGGTAACAGCTCCTATTTCTTCAATATAAGGCTATAAATATTATTTACTTCTCATTTTTGTTGGATTTTTCCTTTGCTTGTCCAATCGAAAAACCACCAACAAATTCTTATTATTTATTAAATTGTTTCAAACACAATTCAAAACTAACATTAGAATTCCACAGTCGTATGTAGGAGGTGAATACACCTCACATCGCCTAAAACAAGATCTGTCCTCTCAAAGAATATTACATTAGTTTAGTTGCCAATATAAACCCCAACAAATTGAAGTGACTAAGAGAAAGCATCAATATTTAATGGAGACAACCAATACTTTGCTGCTCATGGCTAGATTACTTGTTCAATTTTGGTTAGAAGCTCTAATTACTTCCAGTTATCTTATAAACTACATGTCATTCAGAACTTGTAAAATAAAGTACCCATATGAAATTCTGCATCACTCCTCTCCCATATATACTCATCTCCATATTTTTGGTTGTCTTTTTTTTTCCCTGGAAAAGACCTTTTACTCTACACAAACTAGCACTTCCTGCCCCATCTTGTATCTTCGTTGGAGACTCTTCCTCCCATAAGGGGTATCAATGCTACAAGCCCCAAACTCATAAAATTATTATTTCTATACATGTCACTTTTAGTGAGATATCATTTTACAACTTCTCCACTCTGATTTCTACCATATCCTTCAAAAATACTCCTCCATTACTTCTTACACCTATATGAAACAATAAGTAGCTTGACATTATTGAGAGGAGAGAGGGAAAATTAAGATGTTTTCATAGTACTGACGAGTTTTAGAGTGAAGAATGAAATCAAATTGATGCCACTCTTCATTATAGCCATGAAAGTGGGGCGCTTCTACGAAAGTTGTTGACTTTTTTCTAGATTATTCCTCGTCATAGAAGAATTTGAGCTCCTCGATCTGAAATTTGTTCAAATCATGAGTGACCCACCAATCTCGCCAGTCATTGGTATGGGTGTCAACATCTCCGGTATGATTGTCAGATTAGCGATACCTTTATTTGGATGGATTGTAACTCCCGGACAAAATGTTGAAAATACATCGACAATCCCTAAACCATTCGTTCAAGGCAGATTTTAGGGTCAATTAAAGATTCCCAATTACAATCACCATTGTGCGTCTGAAATTTGTTGACATCTGCCGTGGGTGGATCAGATACCAATCTGACGCAGCTTGATAGCGCAAAACTTTCCAAAGAGAAAATGACGACAAAATGTAAGAAAATACACAACAGTCATTGCTAATATAAAAAAAAGGCAGAAAAGGTTGATTTTCGTAACCGGTTTACAAATTTTACTTCGACTTGGCCAAATATTTAAGTCCCTTAAATTAGTTTTTTAACTCATACTATCAAAAACAATCTTCTATAAAAAGGATAGCATTATTCAATAGCTTTTAAAACAAATAAATTTTATTAAAATTTACATACATGCCATGCCACACACTTCTTATTATGTATTTACATATGTAAAACCCAAAGTTTGATATTTGCACTTATAACACCTTGGTTTCATAAACCTATCCATCGAAATCTGCATTTCATTTTTAAAATGATAATGATGGTGGCATTTTTTACATGATGTCATGAAATTGAGTTGCATGCATGTAAATATAAATATTTATATGTTAGATATATAAATACATAAGAATTATGTGGCATGCATGTAAATGCCTCTAAATTTTAACCTTTTTAAATATTTGCAGGGTGTACTGCGAGGAGGGCAGGAAATAGCCGTTAAAAAACTTTCAAACAGCTCAGGACAAGGCATTGAACAATTCAAAAATGAAGTCATCCTCATTGCAAAATTACAACACAGAAATCTTGTAAGGCTGCTTGGCTTCTGCGCTCAAAGTGACCACAAAATGCTTATCTACGAGTACATGCCGAATAAAAGCTTGGATGCATTTCTTTTCGGTAATCAATTTTTATTCCTATATTAATCACCATTTACCAACCATTAATCTCCATAATTAGTTTTTATACCACATTTACAACAAAAAAATAATCTTAACATAGCTTCGAGCAGATCAAAACAGGAAAAGATTGTTAGATTGGAACACAAGGTACAATATCATTGAGGGCATTGCTAGAGGCCTTCTTTATCTCCACAGAGACTCTAGGCTTAGAGTTATCCACCGTGATCTCAAAGCAAGCAACATTCTGCTAGATGACTCAATGAATCCAAGAATTTCGGACTTCGGCATGGCGAAGATCTTTGGAAGTGATGGCAACGAAACTGCAACAAAAAGAGTTGTAGGCTCTTAGTAAGTTCCATAATGTTTGGAAGTCTTATGATCCAACTAGGATGGCTAAGTTAGGTCTAATTTGAGTGAGTTTTACTCGACTTATTGTTGACTTTCTGAGTTGGGCTGACTCAACTACGATTATGTGATATGCATAATGCATTTTATGCATGCACACAATCACATTTTGTGGCAACTTGAATCGAGCGAGGAAATATCAATTTGAACATAATAATCAATTTGAACCATGGAGTTTTTCGAGTTGTTTTCTAGTGATTTCATGACTATTTTAAGGAATATTTACATACATAATAGTAAGTTTTAATGTATTTACATTTCTAACACTTAAAACTTCAATTTTTACAAATATGTCATTTTAGGAATGCATGAAAATGTGCATTTCACTCTGTAAAAGTTAAAGAAGGTGGTATTTTTGATCTAATATGAAAGATTTTGACGGTATAATTGTAAAAAAAAAGCAAAGTATAGGTTTCAAATATCTAAATGCATAGGAATTGGGTGGTATTTATGTAGATGTCCCCTTTTAAATAGCCTTAAAACTGAAGCAAACTTCATAACATGCAGCTAATATTTTTGGCAAAACCATTACACTGCAGTGGCTATATGTCGCCAGAGTATGCAATGAAAGGCCTTTTCTCTGTAAAGTCTGATGTTTATAGCTTCGGAATACTTGTCTTGGAGATTATCAGCGGGGAGAGAAACAGCACATATCAACATCCTGAACTGTATCTCAACCTCATAGCTTGTGTAAGTCAACGCATGATCAAACTATTTTCCATTAAAATAACTTAAAGAAATTCTGTATTGATTTAGGCTTGGAAGCATTGGAATGAGGAAGATGTGATGGAGTTTGTGGATCCATCAATAAGGGATTCATGCGAGCTGAGTGATGTTTCAAGATGCGTGCAGCTGGGGCTCTCATGCGTTCAGGACAGAGCTCATGAAAGACCAACAATGGCAACTGCTATAGTGATGTTGGAGGGAGGATCTATGGTTCATCCAATGCCAAGACAGCCTACTTTTGCGTTTGAGAGAAGCCGGAGTGAGTCTTTGTTAACTGATCAAAGATTCATTACAGAAAATTCAATAATGATCACTATGTTATCAGGTCGATAGTATTAAGTTAATCATATACACTTGCTGTACATTTTTTTTTCTTAATTTCTTGAGGATATAAATGTGGTTATGGAGCTCTTAACTCTTGTTAATTCAGAGTTGATTGGCAGCTGGTGAAGCAGGTTAGAATTTCATGAGTTTAGTGTTGTATATATGTTTAAGTGCATTTTTTTTTGTGAAATTATTTACCTTTCTGGATTTTGATTAAGCCATTTATGGCAATCTTATCAAATATTTATGGTTTACATGTTCATTATATATACTTTTCGTTGATTAAGACTATTTTAATAACTTAAAAAAGTTTTGGTTATTAAGATGGATCTGTTAAATGTTGATATGTTCTTATGCAGTTTCTATAAACTGCTCTGTGGCATGAATTTTTTGATCAAGGAGCAAGAGAAAGCTAAGAATGAGAGAACTTTGTGTTCAGGAATTGCTGAATAGGCATAATTTGGTCAATTTTGAAATACAGAGATAAATGAAACATAATTAGAACAAAGAAATAAAATTATAGCAATCCAAGTGTTCTCATCGTCAACTTTGATTAATGTTTGTGGAAATTTGTTTGTTTGCTTGTGAATGACTTGTTTATTCGGTTGAAATTGTTCTAGAATAGTTTGAAAATAATTTGAGTAAGAATATGATATGGTCATTAAATTTTAGTAGGAATAAGTTTTATGGTCATTATATTTATTTAAAAATATTATAATTTAATGATTGATTGATTAGCCATGTATTACGTGTAATTCAAAATAAATTTAGTTATTAAAAGACTCGTGTTGACCTCACTTTTGGTCAACTCTAACCCAATATACTTTCTAGCTTCTTTGTTAGGTTTAGGTTTCGTTCCCGGTGCCTCCATGTAGCTTTCTCGCCTTAGTCTAGCTAACCCAATTACTTATATTTAGTTCTAAGGGATCTCTAATTAAACCCTAGCTCAATTTATATAGTTTGTTCAGGTTGCAGCTTAGAGAATCTAAGTTCAACTCAAGCCTATATAAGTTTGGTCCATAAGAATCCTATAGGACCTACTTGGATATATAAATTACAGCTCAAAGTCAATCAAATCAAATTGAACTATTTGTGTAGTTAACTTAAGTATAACCCAATAAGAAAAATTAAAGCAAATCAAAACAAATATAAAATCAATTTGAATTTAATTCAGGTAAATTAAAACTTGAATTAGAACTCCTGAACCTCAAATTAGTTAAAATTGGCTAACTTGATCAAACTTACCTATTAAGGGAGAGTTGAATCAAAGTCAATAATATTTTATATTAATTTAATTTAAGGATCCAATCAAATAATCTCTTAAACTAAAATTAAAACCATTGAAACATAATTGAACTAAAAAGGTCGTATAATCCATCAATAAGTCAATTGAATCATGTTGAACCAAAACTTTATAAATCCAAACTAAATTGCAATCAAGCATTGGGCAAGTCATTTTCCCAAGTCAAAATTAACTTAACTATATGAAAATTAGATCAATTAAACTTCTCTGAAATCAATGAATCAACATGATTTATTTTGGAGTTTAATTAACGTAAAAATTGAATCACCTGAATTTAATTAAAACTGGTAAAACTATTAAGTTGAGGATCAAGATTCATCATTTTAATTTAAACCTAAGTCCTATGAATTTCAATTGGGGCTAATTAGGTGTTTTTTTTATTATTAAATAAAATCCCTAGAGGGTCTTATTAAGTTATTGAATTAAATTAAAGCACATATAATCAAACTAACTAGGATAGCTCTCAAAGAACCTAACTACCTGAGCATTAGTCTAACCCAAACCAAATATAAACTAAGCTCAAAATGATTCCAATAGGAACTCAAATGGACCTAAAGGGACTTAACCACTAGTCTTACTCACTCGAACTCAAACCAAAGTCATTAAGATGCAATTATGAATACCTAGGTTGGTCTTCAAGCTGAGCCTAGTTGCTCCAAACTCTCTTTAGTTGTTGTTGAGTGGTACAACCAACTACAAATATTGTTTTAGCTTATTTGTTGCCCAAGTCAACCCAATCATGGATCTAATTGCCACAATCTAACACACCCAAACACAAGTTAACCAATATAATCCTCCCTACTTCACTTGAACCAACCTCTAAGATGTCTTTAGCCCCTTTTTAGTTTAACAAACTAGCTAACTTGTTTTAGTTGTGCCAAGTGAGCTAAAGGCTTTTCTTGTATGTGAGAAGATCAAAGGGTTGTAAGTGCTTTTTATTGCAAAGAAAATGTTTCTTGCAGGTTTTGTTTCAGTGAAATTGCATTGGTTTTTCTCTCGAGCTATAAGTAGCTAAGCATTTTTTCGTGCCTCTGTGATTCATGGGATGGCTTACTTGGTTTGACTTCCATTTATGATTTCTCTTATTGATTTCCGTGCTTTAATTTGATAAGAGTTGTTTACTCCTATGAATCTTTTGGCCTTCATTTACTCCTAACACGGCCAATTAGGGCTTTAAAATCCATCATAATCTATGGCTTCAGCAGAAGTGTAGTGGAATGATTAGGTTAACCTTAAGATCTAAACAAAATAGAAATATTTTATTCTGGATCTTGCAACTATTAGCAGGGATCTGAAAATATTAGGGGATGTCATAAAGACAGGCGAAAGCTATCTTTGTGAAGTTACAAATTTTCTTGGGAAGTAGATATAGGCTTAGGAAGAAACTATTATCCTTGGTTGACAAGAATTACACAAGAGGAATTTGTATGAAAATCGAGTAAAGTGTCACACCTAAATCACAGAGGCACGATCCTCATCAATCTTGGAAAAACACCAATGAGCTTTGATCCTCGTTGTCTTCTATTTTGCTTTCTTCAAAATATGAAAGAATTAGGATTTCCTTTTCTTGTTTTTTGATATCGCTGAACTATGATGGAGTAGTTAGTAAATTGCAGCTTTTGCTTTTTTCAAATTGATTTCTTAACAAACTCCTATGAGAATAATACATAGTACTCCTTTAAAATTGCTTATTACTTGGACATGTATACTTGCGTGAAGTGACCGCTTGTTTTGCGACATTTTTTGCGACCATTAGACAACTCATGCCTTACCTTAAATTTTGAGCATGTTTTTTCTATTATTTTTTGCATTTATTTTGAATTTTATTTTAAATATTTTTTGAATTTGTTGTGTTTTGTTGTTTTATTTATACAAGAGCCATATGAGTCATGATGGAATTCTTACTCGAGTTTAGTGGACAGTGTCATATTTACTTTTGTTGATCTTCATGTACTGATGTTTTACTATTTTGAATTGCCCGATAACAAATTTCCTATTATTACATGCTAAGCATCTGTCTTTTTCTACTATTTTTACTATTATATGCATATGATGGAAAATAAGTTTGAGGGAGAGATTGATGCATGCACACTTGTCTTTAAGTAATTCTCATTAGCTAGTGATTGTATTTTAAAGTAGGAATTCATGTTAGGAATCTTGATAATTTAATGAGTATATAATAATGTCATAAGAACTGTGAAAACTAATTAAATGGTGAGATTGGACTTAATTTCCTAATAAGGGAGTTTTACACTTTAACAATTTCAACTTGATCCCTAAATTGTGTTAAAATAATTAAAAAATGTGTAATTAATATATTAGTAGTAACGAGAGATATTTTAAGCCTTTTTAATTTTCAACACCCAACCAATTTAATTGATTCTTTACTTTTGAATAAATTATAATATATATGAGTTCTCATTAAGAAGAATTTAAGGATTATCATTTATGAGACATTCGACAATCAAAATTCTTAAAAGAAATTCATTTCATCAGATATAGTAATTCTCAAGGGATAAAAAAAAAGAAAAGAAAATGTTAAGAATTGTGAAAGGCTTGAATTAAAAGAAAAATTAAAATAAGTGATCAAACTTCATGAGAAGAAGCTTGAGATAAGAGAAGAAACTTGAGATAAGCACAAAAAAAAAGAAAATTTTGTGTCCAATTTATCTTCTGAGTAATAAGACTTAAAAACTCTTCAATGAAATTCTGATGATATTATATTCAATAAAATATTTAGTGATGTTGGGTCAAATAGTTAGGCTTTTAATTGATTTAAAAATATCTTTGGGAAATGAACGTATTTCAGTTACACTAGATTAAGAGTTTTGAGATTTTCTAAGGCTTAGGAAGAGAGAAAAAGGGTTAGATGATTAGAAATTAATAAAAATCCTAACTTGAAATGAGATTTGCATCTTCTTTTACATATATATAATCGATTTTAAGAATCAAGAAATCCGCATGAGAACTTTGAACGTCACTTTGGTCCCAGTTGAGATATGAGATTACTTGAGGGCAAGTAATAGGTAAGTTTAAAGAAATTGATACGAGAGAAAATTAGGTGATTTCATTGCATTAAATACCATATTTTCTTCCTCATTTATCATGATTTAGGCTAGTGGAAGGTCATTTTTGGTGTTTTGCAGGTTGTAGGTGTTGAGAGTGCAAAACAAAGTCAAAATAACAAAAAGAGCTAGGACTGGTGTAACCACGCTAGATCTGGGCGTGACTACGTCTGGTCTGGCATAACCACATCAGTTTCAGGCATTGTCATTCCACCGGACCATAACTCAATTTGGCAAGATTTTTCATGTTGATTTCGGCCAAGACTTTAAAAGAGAAGCTAGGGAAACTTCTTGGAGCATTTGGAGACGGACTTTGAAGGATCTCTAACCAGTTTTGAGGGTTTGAATGCAAACCCTTGAGTACTCTTCTTCTTCCTTGAAGGAGTGAACTTCTAGGGCAGTTTTTCATTCATTTTTTTATGCTTGTTAGTCGAGATATTCTTTTGAATTCTTGAGTGTTTGAGAGGTGAGGTGATTGCCTTGTATGAGAGGAGAGTTACAAGAGCTTGTACTCAACAGAGAGGAGTGTCGTGTATTGCTAAGGACTGTTTTGCTCTAAGTGAGTGCTCTGGAACTCTTGCACTGCAATCTTTGCCATTTTACTTGCAATAAAACTTTTCACCTCTTCTTTTCATATGCATTATGATTGATTTCATTTCATGCTCCTATTATGTAAGACATGTGTTTTTATTGTAGTTTTCATTCTATGAATTTTTTGTTCCCTCAATGCCTTTTTGATGCATGAATTTCTGATGTGGATGTGTTAACTATACGACCGTAGTCTACTTTTTGTTGGACGTGATAAAATTTTAAAATCCTTAATGAATTATGACTTTTGTCCGTTGTGTAGTGGAATGAGTAGGTTAGCCAGAAAAACATAATAGAATACGTATAGGGTCAAGCGAAACTTAAATTTATGAGTTTTTTATTCTTTCTCTGACCGTAGTCTACTTTTTGTTGGATGCGATAAAAATTTTAAAACCCCTAATGATTTATGACTTTTGTCCATTGTGTAGTGGAATGAATAGGTTAGCCACAAAAAACATAATAGAATACGTATAGGGTTAAGCGAAACTTAAATTTATGAGTTTTTTATTCTTCTTTTGACCTAGACGTAGGCTTAAGGAGGAAAATTTCATATTTAGCCATTAACAATAATGTGGGTTCCATAGAAAAACTTCAAAGAACCACATCATCGATATCACGGGATTTTGAACCTTACGTATCTAAAGAGCTCAAGACTTTTTTTTAGCTATTAGATTCCTTTCTTGCATTCAATTACTTAAAACTAGATTTAGCGGTTTAGTAAACTAGAATTTCGTCTGTTAAAAATATTTTCACACTATCCTTGTGGGATCGATACACAGAGTTGTTTCTGCATATTACTTGATCGACACTTATACTTATGTGATTAACTGACTTACCTCACAATAATTTTCAGCCATCACCAAGCACCTACGAACTTGGCTAATGCCTTTCTGCGAGCGCAGGTGCCAATAAGGAGACCCTAAACAAAGAGCAAGTAGTAAATGGGCCAACCAAAAGGTCCCTAGACTGAGAGCAAGACTACTTATCAACCTCAAAAACAAAGAACTTGATTCATAGGTGCAAGTCCCAATTGCCCATACATCTACTTCAACCCAACATCACAGAGTTAAGTGCCAAGCTCGAATTCAACATAAATTTTCATTAAAACCTGCCTTGTTTGGATCAAAAGTAAATAGCCATTTTTAGAGCTTTGTTTAGGACAAACTGAACGACCTTTTAGAGGGTCAAAGATAGGTTCTAAGTCTGCTCTTCTTATGGTTTCAAGAAGGATTCTTTGAGGTAGCCTGAGAGTGCTCTCTAGGATCGGGAAGATGATTGTGTAGCATATTCACTAGAGTTTCCTTGGAGTTTGCTAATCCTTTTCCTTTTTCTTATTGATGTAACCATATTTATGATTTATTTGTTTTATGATGCATTTTCTTTAAACAACAACTAATCCCCTTTTATAGGAGTTGGATGTATCTTCCTTTGGTTGTTAGTTTATTAAATTTAAATAACTATTTTAATTATCAAGTCATCCTATTCAACTCCAGATTAGACAACAATCAAATCAATGAAACTCGAACCACTCTTTCTTCTGATTTAATGTCAAGTCCAGTTCATTCCTATTTCATTTTTGCCTTGCCGAATTATGACATTTTAGATACTGCAAAACCATCCATCAATAAACTAAAATTGTAATATCACTTATTATATAATATTATAATATTTTATTTAATACAAATCCTTATGTAAACTTTTTATAATATTATATGTATTATATTAAACATTATAATAAAATCAATAATTATAATAAAACTAATATTCCTAATATATGATTCTACATTATATATAAAAAGCACAAAAAATTTTCTAAAAAAAAATCATAATATTTATTTTACACGTTAGTGTAATATGACTAACAGGTGGAAGTGAGATCACAAGTCAAATATTTCAACGCAAGTTAATCATTTGATTTGGAAGTTCAAAGTTCAAACGTGACGGCCTAAACAAGTTGAAGAGAAGGAAGGTCAAGAAACAAAACCCGCTCTTTTAACCCCTGAAGACGCAGTCCGTGGAAGCAAAAAACAGATTTTGCTCCGATAACTCGATCGAGAAGCTTCACCAAACCCAGATTAGCAGATTCAAACAAATATCAAAATCAGACCAATTTACCTATGAGAATTCATGGGCAGGTGCTCTAACATCAGCACCATCATCTCACTCTTCCTCTCAGCACCCATCTGCTTCATCTCCCTTCACTTCTTCCCATCATCACAAGCAGCAAGCTACCTGACTCCTCATCAGCCTCTCACCGTCGGCAACAGCCTGGTCTCCGACGGTGGAGTCTTCGAGCTTGGCTTCTTCAGCCCGGGCAGGCCCAACAGAACTTATTTGGGCATATGGTACTGCAACTCCCAAGGCGAAAGAATTGTCTGGGTTGCTAACCGCGACTTGCCAATCTCCGACTCCTCAGGCTCCCTCGCCATTGCCAACGATGGCAATCTGGTCGTGCTCGACGGCAAGAAAAGCATTCTGTGGTCATCCAACATCTCCTCAGCTTCAAACAGCAACATCACAGCTGAGATCCTTGACAGCGGCAACCTCATGCTTAACAGCCCCAGCGGCAGGCTATGGCAGAGCTTCGACTACCCAACGGACACCTACCTCCCTGGCATGAGAGTTGGGCTAGACCTCCGAACCAACAAGAACCAGATGCTTATCTCTTGGAGGAGCAGCGATGATCCAGCACCGGGTCACTTCTCCATAAGCCATGATCCGAACAGGTCAACTCAGATTTTCATGTGGAATGGCGGCAAGCCGCGTTGGCGCTCCGGCATGTGGAACGGCCAGGTGTTTATTGGGATTGAAAACATGATCTACGCCTACTCCTATGGCTACAAATTAAGCAACATCGACGAGGAGCAGAAGATGTATTATTACATTAATTCCAACAGCTCTCAATACTGGGTTCTAACCTCGGAAGGCGTTTATACGCACTTCAGATGGAATGGAGACGCTCTCTCCTGGAGCCAATTTTGGGCTGCACCAGTTTCTGCTTGTGAGGAGTACAATCAGTGTGGAAATAATGGCGGATGTCGCAATGACAAGGCACCTATCTGCGACTGCTTGACTGGATTTGTACCAAGATCAAGTAGTCAGTGGAAGCGTGGCATCTGGGCTGGGGGGTGTGTGAGGAGGACGAAGCTGGGATGCAACAGGAATGGAAGTATTGGTGAGAGGGAAAACAAGCCTGATAAATTTTATCTGATGGAAAGAGAGAAGCTGCCAGATTTGGCAACCATTATTCACATTGCTTTGGATTTGAACACTTGCCAAGCAAAATGTACGAGGGATTGCTCTTGCAAGGCTTATAGTTTTGTGACGGGGATTGGGTGTATGACATGGGGAGAAGAAATGAGGGACATTCAGATCTTCCAAAACGGGGGAAATGATTTGTATATTCGACTCGCAGGCTCAGAATTTGGCCACGGTAGCTTCTCTGCATAGTTTCATTGCTCTGCCTGCTGTTGAAAATGCTGAATTCACCTGCATGAACAAATGAAATTTTGTTAGGGTTCAGGACTGTAGCTGAAATAGTTGCATAAGAATTTTAAGAATATGCATTTGATAGTTTGAGGAAGTTTAACAAGAAAAAAATTTGAAGCAAAACATAATTCAGCATTATGAAAAAATGGCTCGAACAGATTAGTACTGATCTTATTTGTGTTATTTGCAGAAGACAAAATAGTTGTAATGCTCATAATAGCTGCAATTTTGAGTCTTGGTTCTCTTGGATGCATATGCTTATTGTGGAAGTACAGAAAACGAATAAAAGGTTCATAACTCAGTCACATTGTTCTCCCCAAAGCCTGCCTTAATCAAAATATCTTTGTACTGATATTAACCCTTCGAATATCCAGAATATTTTAAGCAAAGGAGTCAGCAAGAAGAAAATGCAGCGCTTTTTGGTTTAACAGAGATTCAAGAGGAAGGGAAAGATGGAAAACGGCATGAGATACGTGTGTTTACTTTTCATGATATGGTTGCAGCAACAGACGGCTTCTGTTTTGAAAATCTGCTCGGTGAAGGAGGCTTTGGTCCTGTTTACAAGGTCTATTTCCACCCAACCTTTATTTATTTATTTATTAGATATTAACAGGAGTTTCAGTAAAAGGTTGAAAATTTTGCATGCCGATCACCACTTTATCACATCCCGCATTATCATCAAGAAATAGTTAGCAATCGTTATCTGATTACGAGAAAAGAATACTTCACCATTCTAGTACACTGATGCCCTGCTATCTTTTAACCACAGCTTCAAAGTGTTCTTCAAAGTGCAACAAAAGATTTTAATTATAAAAATGGATAATTTTCTGCAACTCCTTTTCTAAGTTGTTAATTACAACCATTTCTAGGAAGCAAGTGCAAGAAAACAAAAAAGTTCTGACAGCAGTCATTATTCTAATGGTTTAACTCATGTCAAACATGTTGATTTTACTAGAATAAAAATTTTTAACTAATTGACCAAGGCAGGCATAGAAATCTTAAATATTTCACAAATTTCTTGAGCTGGGCTAATTTAGGATGCTCTTTTTCTGCGAAATGAAATAATGAAGATGATAAATATTGAATCTTTACAGGGCATTTTGCCTGGGGGCCAACAGATAGCCGTTAAAAGACTTTCAGAGAGTTCCAGGCAAGGTATGGAGGAATTCAAGAATGAGGTCAAACTAATTTCAAAATTACAGCACTCAAGCCTGGTCAGATTAGAAGGTTTTTGCATCCATGGAGAAGAAATGATGCTAATTTACGAGTACATGGATAACGGAAGCTTGGAAGATTTTCTTTTTGGTAAACAGCCCTAAATAAAAGGAAGATTTACATACCTAGCACTCAATTCTTATGTATTTACATATCTAACACCTAGACTTCAATTTTTACATTTATGCAACCTTACCTATGCCTGAAAAGATGTGCTTCACTTTTTAAAAGTTAAATAGTGGTATTTTTTATGTGATTTGCAAGATTTGGGTGATGTAATTGTAAAAATCAAAGTATAGGTGTTAGATAAGTAAACACATAAGAATTCTATGGAATGTATCTAAATGCCACTTGAAGAGTCCTTTTATTTTTCAAAAGTTTGGAAGGTGACAGAGAAAACAAAACCAGTCTAAACACTGTTCGACAGGTTCAAGTAAAAGAGAACGGCTAGATTGGAAGACAAGATACAATATCATTGAAGGAATAGCCCGTGGGCTCCTCTACCTTCACCGAGACTCTCGGTTAGGTGTCATTCATCGAGACTTGAAAGCGAGCAACATTTTATTAGACGAGGAGATGAACCCAAAAATTTCGGACTTCGGCATCGCTAGAATATTTGGAAAAGATAGCAATGAAACAAAGACAAAGCGAGTCATTGGAACATAGTAAGAAATGTTTAGTTGTTTTTGTTTACAAATAATAAAAAATCTCACAATTGATGATGACTTTTTTGCTGTTAAATTTCAGTGGCTACATGTCACCAGAGTATGCGATGCAAGGATTAATCTCCATAAAATCTGATGTCTATAGCTTTGGAGTATTACTACTAGAGATTGTCAGCGGAAGGAGGAACAGCACATACCAACATCCTGAATTGTGTCTGCATCTCCTACCATATGTAAGTACACATAGCATTGCTTTGATAAAAGTAAAGAGTATAGTGCCAAAATAGTCCTCTGACTATTTAAATGGGGTCATTTTAGTCCTAGAGTTTATAAAAATATCAAATTAGTCCTCATAATATTTTAAGACGGGCTAAAATAGTTCTCAGAAATGACTATTTTAGCCATCATTAAAAGATTTTGGAGACTGCCATTTTTATAGCCTTTGGACTAAAATGGCCCTCTACAAAAAATCAGGTTTAAGTACACATAACATTGCCTTGATAAAAGTAAAGCTTGAAGTGTCAAAATAGTCTTCTAACTACTTAAATGGAGTCATTTTAGTACCAGAGTCAATAAAAATGTCAAATTAGTCCCCCTACTAATTTTAATACGATCTGAAATAATATCCATGAATGACTATTTTAGTCATCATTAGATCATTCTAGAGACTAATCTGACATTTTTATAGCCTCCGAACTAACACCCCACAAAAATTCGGACTAATTGGACATTTTTCTCTAGAAGTATGTGATTTGGCAAACTATAATATTAATAGCACGTATTTTTATTTGTATAGGCTTGGAAGCTATGGAATGAGGATAATGAGATGGAGCTAGTGGATCCATTAATAAGAGACTCCTGCCAACCAAAAGAAGTATCGAGATGTATCGAAGTGGGTCTCCAATGTGTTCAGGATCAAGCTACAGATCGGCCTACCATGTCTACGGTAGTCATGATGTTAGAATGGAGAACCACTACACATTCCATGCCAAAGGAACCTATATTTGCCTTGAATAAAAACCCAAAGAAGAGAAAAATAGTAAATCCTGGCCAAGAGGATGACAGTAATGATGTTTCGATCACTCTATTAACAGGTCGGACATAGTTTTTATTCTTTTACAAGTAGGTTAGGGTTGATATGTATCCTTCTTGAAATGGATCTGTTGAGGACGAGAACACTCAAGAGAAGAAAGAAAAGTTGGAATTAACATTTCAATCATAATACCTGTATATAATACTAAGGTTTGACAGATTCTTTGCTGAGAAAATAAGAATCACCGGTTGTCTTTACTGGTAGATATTCTTTGATAAAAAAGGAAACAAACATGTAACAGAACTAATAAAGAATACTCATAGGCATTGTCCACCATTAATGTGTTCTATATTTCCTATAGATATATAGTTCTACAGGATACTGATTAACTTAGGTTGGGATTATGTCCAAAGTTGAATGCTTTGGTACAAGATATTCATGAGATCTGAGCATTCATGAGAGTTGGTGTCATAGTTGAATTTTAAGAAATGATTTCAGGTATTGAAACTTTGGGTTCATCATATGCTTCACCTGTAGTTCCCCTTCATTTAGATGTTTATCCCTGGACTTCAGGCAATAAATCTCAGTTGTCGATGGTTGCCTTTACATGCATCATATTTTGATTTTGTGGTATTTCTTGAACTTCATTTATATGAGTTATATATTGCCTCTAGAAAATCAAGTGCTATACATGATAATTTTATGGTTGTAACATAGATGTTTATTGTAATGTTTAAGATAATCAGGATGAAAATTATGTTTTAGTTCATATATACATGGGCATATTTTGCACTCGAGAAAATTATGTTTTAGTTCATATCTACCTATTGTATTTGTATGTGATTTGACTTTCGATATTAATGTTAATCTTATTTTATTTGTTACAAATTTTAATGTTGTAAGGCCTTTCAAGCCTCTAAAGTTTCATTCTAGGAGAAAGGCACTATAGAGACAAGAAATTTCAGAGGCTTGAAAGGCTTCTACAACATCAGACTATATAACAAATAAAATAAGATGGTGGTTGTCACAAATAATTATATAGTCATTGAGCAATCATAAAGTGTTGTTTGCTTGCTTTTTAATTTCTCAACATATTGCTTGTTTATTGCTTTCATATAATTGTTTTAGAATGGCCTGAGCAATTTACATTCACATTAATCATAGGACTAAATTTTTTATAAATAACATGCCTATGAATCCATGTGGTCAATCTAGGCTGAGCTAACTTGTTATTCATCCTTATAGCCAATGTTGACCCAAAATACTTATTTTCCTTTTTCTAAAACTTTGTCAACATGCTATACTTCCCAAATGCAAGAAAAATAACTTAGTAAGAAATTGATTAATGGGGTTTAGCTTACATGCTTAGCATCATCAAAACTTATAAGAGTTTTAATTAATCAACAACTTTAATTAATTTGATCAAATTTCAATGCCAACATCTTAATTTAAGTAATTAAAAAAATTTAATTCCTTAACAATTTGCTTAACAATAATTGTGCTAAGTTATGAAATTTTTTTATGGATCATGTTAATCTTAAATTTAATCAAATTACAATGAAAATAATCAGATTAAAATAATCACAATCTGAGAAAAAATGAATTCATCAGTCAAAATATGCACATAAAAGATATCCTAAAAACGAAAACAGATAATGGCTTCATGAAAGAATATATAGTTTAAATGTAATCCACCCACTTTTGATATCTGATTACTTAAAAGACATAAAAATAACTAAAAACTATTGTTTACTTCTCATCGTCAATATTTTTTAGCTTTAGCTTCTTCAAAATAAAATGTAAAATCAAAACTGAGATGCTATCAATTTTTACTCTTTATTCCAAATGAAATGGAGAAAGTCGTCTTAAATGGTTTGGTCATATTAAACGTCGACCATTAGATGATCCGATTAGGAGAGTAGATGTTTTAAATTCGACTAGTGTTAAGAAAGACATAGGTAGACCTAGGAAGACTTGGGCTTATTGTATTAAAAATGATCTTAATTTACTAGAACTAAATGAAAATATGACACTAAATAGGCCACAATGGAGAAAAAGAATTCATGTAGCCGATCCCACGTAGTGGGATTAAGGCTTTGTTGTTGTTGTTGTTGTATTCCAAATGAAAAAATAAAATCATCGACTATACAACTAAGCAACCAACAGGACATGTCCCGAACAAAAATTTAATAACATTTTGTCATTAACACATCTCTGAACTACGGATGATCATTTCTAATAAACTCAAATGAATATATAAAATGTGACAAACTGCGATGGTCGATCAAAGTACATTCATATTTGATTATTTTAATAAGATGTCAAACCTTTTATGTGTAATCTGCAACATTTAAGTTCTATTTGACTACTGTTATGGTAGAAAATATGGGAACTCATCGTCATCCAAATTAATTTGTTGATTCTCAAATAAAATGAATTTCAAAATCTAATACACTCGCTAATAACATGTCCTTTATCACAAAATAAGATTTTTTTCATATAGTTTACAATCAACTAAGCTGCATCGTGCATCTTTTGAAAAAGATTGCATCATAATAAACTTACTAGCATTTTTTAATATCAATATATTGAAAATGATAATTGTTAAAAAATACCTGAATATGCGACACATTCTACATTATCTATCAAAATTATTTTTCTATTCTCATTCCATGAGACCCATTACTTCTTTCTGAGCTGTTGAATATGACTTCATATAGACATTGTCAAACCTGATTTTTGCACTGTTCAAGTGTTACCTCAATACCAAATTTATTATTTAAATTTTGAGCAACACCTCTACATTGCTAGACAACATCTTTAAACCCATGAGCACTTTTCATATTTGCATCCATACATTCTAATATAATTTGTAATAAATCTGCTATTCATCTTACTTTAAGCTCTACAAAATGCTTCCTTTTTTTACTAGTTTTGGAAGAGGTTTTAGTTGACTGTAGCGATTTCATGAGAACTAATAACAAAACTAACGAGCTTTCAAGTCATAAGAACAAGTATAATAACAAGGAGTCATGCTAGTGCAAAGGAAAAAATCAAACCTATAAAGTCGATATGAATATTTCAAATGTATCGTATATTGAGTTGAGGAAGTCGTAAGAGCCATAACCATAATTAAATAAACACAAATATGGACAACAGAGAACTCGATAGCTCACTAATGTCAGCCTCTTGCTAATGAACACAACGACTGTCTTGAGCAAGGGCTAAATTGGATAAATGAACTCGTAGATACTTTGAAGGCTTCGTTACCCTTGTTAATATATAAAGAGACAGTACAGCCAAGTCACGCTTTTCCAAAACCAGTAAGAAAATGAAGCAGGTTATTAAAAATTCTATCAAAATATTTGGATGCAAATATCAAACTTGCTCAAGAGTTTAAAGATGACATTTATCAAGGTTTTGCTCAGAAATTGAAGTTGAATTTTGAAATTGAGGTAACAGCTGAGCAGTGCAGAAATCAGCTTCGAAATTAAAGAAGTATAGTCATATTTAATAGCTCATAAAGAAGTCCGGAGTATCGTTGAATGAGAATAGAAACATAGTTTTGATGGGTCATGAGGAGTGTGCCATCTATTCAGGTATTACCTTTTAGTAATTATCATTTTTAAAATTTTAATGTTAACAAAACATTTAATACTTTTGTTATAACATAGTTATTTTCAAAAGATGCAGCTTATTCGAATATTCAAATTGTAAAATATCTCGAGTTAAATAAATTTTGTGGTGAATGACAAACTAATGGAGAGTAGGCAAAATATGAGATTTCAACAATTTCATTTGGGACTTGGCAAATTAATTTGGATGATGATTAGTGTTTTAGGTCATTTTTAAAAAGACTCGGAGTCACTAACTTTTCTTAATGTCGTATGACTCCATTTTCTAAATAAATATCCCACTCGAATAATAGAAATGATCCGAAGTGGAGATGAATCGAAAAGATATGATATACGAAAAAAGTTACAAAAGTAAATTTTAAAAAGAAATAATAAGGGTTTATATAAGGTAATCCTTGTATTACAGGTTAAAAAACATCTTGAAACACAATCCACAAAGAAAGTTCCTACATAAGTCACTCATGTAACCAGAGAGTGAAGTTTTTCTGCTTGTTATGAGTTCAAGAGTACTCCCAAAAGATTACATCTCTTTGGCTAATTATATCTTGAGGGATGCCTATGAGCATTCTCGTTATGAAGGGTATTGCTTACATTATGTATGATATCCAATTAATTGGGAAACCAAAAGATTTTTTATCATCTTAAGCGGGAGAATAAAGGGGATGCACAAGAGTGTGCAAATTATAGAGGAATTAAGTTGATGTGTCACACTTTAAAATTATTAGAGAGGGTAATTGAACATAGGTTAAGACATATTACAAAATTTCTCATAATCAATTTGGATTTATGTCAGGCAGGTCTACTATGGAAGTTATACATTTATTGAGAAGTTTGATGGAGAAGTTCAGAGATAATAAAGAGAATCTAAATTTGATTTTTATTGATTTAGAAAAAGCTTACGATAAGATTCCAAGAGATATCCTTTGGAGAGTTCTTGAGAAGAAAGGTGTTGATATGACTTATATTCAAGTCATTAAAGATATGTATACTAGAGTTGTTACTTGTATTCGAATTGAAGGAGGATTGACCAAATATTTTCCTATTTTTGTTGGATTACATCAAGGATCGGCTTTAAGCTCGTATCTTTTTGCTTTAGTTATGGATGGTCTTACTGAACGTTTACATGAGGATGTACCTTGGTGCATGCCTTTTGCTGAAGATATCCTTCTCGTGGATAAGACGAGAGAAAAAGCCCAGAAAAAACTTGAATTATGGAGGTCTACATTGGAGTGTAAAGGCCTTCATTTGAGTAGAACTAAAATTGAATACATAGAATGTAATTTTAGTAGTAGTAGCTCTAGTGAGAGAAGTGTAACTTTGGGTGATCAAATTATTAAAAAATGTGAACTATTTAGATATCTCGGGTCTGTTGTACAAAGCGATGGTGATATAGATGAGGATGTTAATAGTAGAATTCAAGTTGGTTGATTGAAGTGGAGGAATGCTTCGGGCCTTTTGTGTGATTGAAAAATGCCGCTTAAACTGAAAGGAAACTTTTATAAGACGGTGGTGAGACCTGCAATGCTCTATGGCGCTGAATATTGACCTTTAAAAGAAAAGCATAAAAGCATAATACTAAGTTAAGTGTTGCCGAGATGAGAATGATTAGGTGGATGAGTGGTTTTACACTTAGAGACAAAATGCGATATGAATATATACGTGATAGGGTTGGTGTAGCTCTTGTGACAAACTAAATTAGAGAAAGTCGTCTTAGGTGGTTTGGTTTTTAGAGAGAAAATGTCGACCATATGATGATCCTATTAGGAGAGTAATTGTTTTAGATTTGACTTATGTTAAGAAAGGTAGAGGTCGACCTAGGAAGACTCGAGCTTATTGTATAAAAAATGATCTTCATTTATTAGAACTAAATAAAAATATGCACTAAATAGGACGCAATGGAGAAAAAGGATTCATGTAGCCGACCCC